ACATACAACAACAGTTTTCCACAACTTGTCTCATCCTCTTAAGGTTATCCTGGGTTAGTATCTTTCCAAACACAAATGTCCAAACAAAAAAAAACCACCTTGAGGGGGGCTTTCGATCGCCAAATAGTCTTCCACGGGAATGCATCTCCTTGAGAAATCCTAAGACATCTAAAGTATGAGCGAACCTCAAAATGACCCCTAGAAGAGGGGACCCATACCATAGAATAGGGGACTCCACTAACAATCTCTTGATGATACAACAACTCTAAATTGCGGGATTTGTGTCATCATAAATGTTTCATAATCAGTAATAAAGGATGGACTCTTTATTAATGAAGAGATGAACTGGATCTATGATGTGAAGCTTGAATTGTGAGAGCCGTCGTAACAATTCGCTTCACATCACCATCATGGCGAATGACTCTCATGAGAGAGGTATCCACTCTTGTATTAATTAGTAGTTGCTTTGATTTATTCGACAGGGCGCGTAGGACCTAATGACCGGTACTTTGGTTAGCTATTTGTTGAAGGATTTAAATATTAAAGTTACACTCTCTCTGACATCTTAAGCTTTTAGAGGAGATAGTTGTTAACATGGTATCAGAGCCGAAGGTCTGGAGTTTAAACCTCACCGTCACGTTACAAATTAAAATTGAAAACACACATTGGACCAAAAGAAAGTCACACGTGATTGGGCGTGTTGAAGGATTTAAATATTAAAGTTACACCTTCTCTGACAGCTTAAGCTTTTAGAGGAGATGATTGTTAACAGCTTGGGAACATACTCTCAAGATTTGCATCGGTGCTATTTATTTTGACTTGATTAATTTGATCACAGGAAATTTGGAGGCCTCCGTGGTTTTGATTAAATTTTTTTAGTATATATTTATTATTAAATATATTATATTATCAAATAAAACTTTTACGTGATCAAGTGGAATAATCAAGGAATCGAAATAAAAGGATTAATTAAGTGGTTGGATTGATGGATTTTATTGTCCGATAGCTTAATTAAGCATAGAGGGGTCATTATGTAAATTGATTTCGTGTGAATCACTATTCTAAATGGAGAACAATTAATTCTTTTTAGTGGAGTTAGAATTAATTAATGGGCTAAATGGAGAACAAAAGAATTTGACCGGGTCCATTATTATTCCATTGGAGCCATGGAGAAAGTGAGCCCAAAATATCCTCACCTATAGCCCAAATAATGAATTTCCAGCTCATGAGAATAGAAAAAGACAAAAGAATTGTAGTAAGTGATAAGGGCACCCATGTGGGTGGGATGAATTGATATGGCACCATTGATAGATTGTAGGAGTTTATGTTTCCACTCCAAGACATCTATATAAAGGATGGCTGTAGAGAAATTCACAGTTAGCAATTCACATGCAATTTGCAAGATAATTGTAGTGAGAGAAAGTATGGGATAAAACCTATACATATGGTCCCCTATTTGTATCACCACTACCAATTATAGATCTAGGGGTTTTTCTTGTGTTGATCCCAACATCAATGGCTTGAAGGTATTTAATAGAGAGGTCATATGGGTGATTCTTGATAGGCACTTCCACCAATGAAGGGTTGATTAAAGCTTCGGGGGCTAAAGATAAAGTACTACCATACTTATGAATTGAATTTGTGATTTCCTCAAATCACATATGTGAGTTCTCTACACTTTTTATATGCTTATATGTATGGTACTACATGTATTTTCATCAAACGCACTTTCACCATTTACGAACACCTCCTTGGGATTTTCTACATGCTTCCACTTTTTAAAATGCCATTTCCCAACACCCACCCACATCATCTAATCCACACCCTTACCCTCCACCGCCTGACTATAGAGTAAAGTAAGAAACTCCGTAAGCTCCCAATCATGAAACTCTTTACAAAACTGCACATCCCAAGTTCTCCCATTATTGAGCCGATAACGGTCAGTAACCAAAGCATGTTTGTTCATAGATATCCTGAAAAGATGAGGAAACCTATGGGCCAAAATGACGTCCCCACACTAGCGATCCTCCAAGAAGCTGACTTGCCTCCCATTCCGAATTTTGAACCGGATGGGTTTGGAAAACTTGTCCCAACCCTTCTAGATAAGTTTCCAAATACCCACCCCCATTGGAGATCTCAAATCCCTAGATATCCGCCCTTTATCTCCCCCCTCGTGTTGACAAGAAATGACTCGCTTCTATAATCTAGGTCTCTCAGCCCCAAATCTCCAAATTCATTTGCCTAACAAGGCCTTGTTGAACAACTCCAACCTCTGGATCCCCAAACCTTCCTTTGCAATAAGGGAGCACACTCTCTCCTAGTTGACCAAGTGGTATTTAAACTCACCACCCAAACCTTTCCACAAAAACTTCCTCTGGATCTCATCTCATCTCTTTACAACTGTCATAGGCAACGGAAATAAAGACATGAAGTAAGTAGGAAGCTTTGAAAGGATACTCTTCATAAGAGTAAGCCTCCTCCCTTTCGACGGGTATTGTTTCTTCTAACCTACAAGCCTCCTCTCAAATTGCTCAACCACAAGATCCCAAATTGAAATCCTCCTCGATGAGGCTCTAAGGGGAAGCCTCAGAGAGGAGATTGGAAATGAACCCCCCACACCACACCCAAGAATGTCTACCAAGGCATGAATCTCCTCAACCTCCCCAACAGGCACCAACTCACTTTTCCTAATTTTAATCTTCAACCCCGAAACAACTTGAAAGTAAAACCAAAACATGTCTCAAGTGCCTCAGCTGATCCACTCTAGCATCACAAAAGACGATAGTGTCAATCCAACTGAGAATCCTCAAATAAAACCTAACTCTTCCGCCCTCCCCTTTAACCTACTAAAAGCCTCCATAACAATGATAAACAGGAAGGGGGAAAGAGGATCACCTACGCGTTACCCTCGAGAGCTAGCAAAGAATCTTGCTCGGACCATTCACTAAAATCGAAAAACGTGCAGATGAACTGCAATGATAAATCTATGACCTCTATTGGTACCTGAAACCTATCCTGTGCATCAAATACATCAAGAAGTCCCAACAAACATGGTCATAAGCCTTTTCGATATCCAATTTACAAACAATCCCCGGAGCTCCCTCAATGCACTCACTAGCAGCCAATGCATTCCAGGACTCCGATATCACCTCATTCAAGACTCTCCTCAATTGAATGGCCAAGATTTTTGCTACAATCTTATAAACGGCACCAACTAGGCTAATTGGTCTGAAGTCCTTAGCCTCAACAGCTCCACCCTTTTTTGGGATAAGGGTGATAAAAGATGCATTAAGGCTCTTCTCAAAATGACCCTTAGAATAGAGATAGTTGAATGTTCCCATCACCTTAGTCTTCACCACCTCCCAATTCTGTTGGAAAAGGCCAAAGTAAAGCCATCCGGTCAAGGAGCTTTGTCAACATCGCAGCTCCTCAAAGCCTCCAACAACTCCTCCTCTCCAAAAGGCCTCTCAAGCCAATCTCTATTTTCACCTGTAATTTCCCCAAATTCAAGCCCATCAAGCGAAGGTCTCCAGCAAGCAGTCTCTGTGATTCCGTGAATAACTGCTGATAAAAGGATACAAATCCATCTTGTTTGTCGAGAGAGAGAATTATAAAAAGCATCTAGGCTATAGAGTGTCATCATCTAGCATGTTGCATTAGATGATGTGTTATAATTCGGAGTGTTGATTGTCAACTTATGGAGCTCAAGTTGTCATCAAACACGAAATCACACAAAGAACTTGAAGTTTGAGTGACTAGCTGAGGAGATCAAAGCACATATTGAAGAGTGGATTGCGTGAGGGCAGATTCCTTGACTGGCAGCAGCAGAATTTGAGGGGAACATCTGGCGTTACTGGGTTAGAGGTAATTAGGTGATTCTATGGGGTTAGGATATGATACTTTTTTTTTTTTCATTGGAAAGAAACACACACCCCACTCACACACCCACTTTACCCCTTTGGGGACTTGAAGCCTCACCATCCACTTTGGGAGGTAGAGGAGATACCACTAGGCCACAAGGCCTTTGGTGTTAGGATATGATACTTATGGTTGTATTAGCTTTCTTTTGATAGTGGATTTGATATTTCTGGACTAGATCTCATGGTTTTTCCTAGTTTGGGTTTTCACATAATAATACTTCTGGAAACTTCCCTGTGAATGGACTTCTAAACTAATTAAGACAACTAATTCTTAACAAGTCAAGGACTGGACAAAACCCGATAACCCAACACCTAAGATGTTGAGACACCAAACAAAAGATAATGAGATATATATATATATATATATATATATATATATATATATATATATATATATATATATATATATATATATGAGTATAAATGTAGTTATATATTAAATAACTTCATCAGCGGCCCGATTATAAGAAAAGGTTGATTTTCCTAATCAAAGGGAATTAAGTAGGTGGGTTCATCATTCCCCTTTGTAAAGCCTACACCCTATTATCCCCCTTTTTCAAACTCCAAACCAATAAGTTGCCCAGACCTGAAAGCCAAAGCCCGCTGTACAAATGATCTAGAACGTTATTCTAACTCAGTGCCGTCCTTCATTTGGTTCATAGTAAGCCTTGTTAAATTTTGCTGATCTTTTGTTATTCATTATGGATGGGAACTCCAACTGTCTTTTCAATTAATTATTTTCATATTCCTGTCTCTTTGATGTACTGCTTCCTTGCTGATTTTATGGTAATATTTTCACAGCCACCTAATGTTAAAGTTTCATTATGCTAATTTTATCCTGGAATGGAACTTCAGATGTCCTTTTCAATTAATTGGTGTTGCATAGACCAGCCCTTTTATTATTTTTTCTCATTAAATTAGGTTTGTTTTGCTGTTGTTTTTCTTTTCATAGCCAATTAACATTCATAACACATGATGATACTTTTACTCTGAAATTAAACTTCAATGGTCTTTTTCCAACAATTAAATCTTTTATCACTTTGTTGATTGTAATTGTGAGAAGTAAATGGCGTTTTGTAGCCAATAAAACGGAAGAGTGAAGTAGCAGACTGTGAAGCTGAGTCTAGCGAGCAGAATCCCAGTCATGGCTGTGCTGAAGCTGTTAACAGTCACCTTCAGACTCCGGTATCTGGAAAAGCGGGAAAGGCACAGAAAGTGCCAAGGACTGGAAAGCTCAATAAATCTGGCCCTCAAACTCCAGCAGCAAATGTTGGTGAGTATTAAAGTCTTTATTCTGGGCTCCACTATTTGGCAGTGCTACATATCTCAACAAAAGATTGTAAGCATTACTAACAAATTAGTGGTATTATTAAATCCTCGATGTATTTTGTTTGAACTGTTCTATTGCGCCTGATTTTCCTGTTCTCTTTCACTTTATTTTCACACATACGAGTGTTAAAATATGAAAAAGCTATACATTTTGCAGGTTCTCCTTCAGGCAATAATCTCACTCCAGTTGGCCCTTGTCGTTATGATAGCTCCTTAGGTAACTTATTGCTCATGCCTATGTTTCTCTATATTTGATCTTTGCATTTTGTTTTTCTCGTTGGCTCTATAGAGAAGGTATAAACCATAAGATTGATTGTTCACAATGTTGTGTACTTTGTTTAGGTCTCCTGACAAAGAAGTTCATTAATCTGATCAAACATGCAGAAGATGGTATTCTTGATCTAAATAAAGCTGCTGACACATTAGAGGTGACTTTATTACTATCAATTATGTGCGTAACGTGTTTTGTAGTTCTGTCAAATAAAGAATTTCTGTTACTACAGGTGCAAAAGAGGCGGATATATGACATAACAAATGTCCTAGAGGGAATTGGCCTGATAGAAAAGAAGCTCAAGAATAGAATTCAGTGGAAGTATGGGAATATTCTAAAAAAATTCATGACTTCAATGGAAGTTGGTTTATATATGATTCTTTTAATTGCCATTAAATTCTAAGATTCACTTGCAGCACTTTATGTGTTACTAACATTTTCTAATAATCAAAAGAAGTTACTAAAAAGTTGATTGATTTATCAGGGGACTTGATGCCTCAAGGCCAGGGGATGTTGATGAGAATGTTGCTAGCATACAGGTATGTGAAATTTAAGTGTTTGTTGGCATTCACACACTTGGATAGGTCAGGTGTACATTATCGACATTTCAAAGATCTGCATGTGTATATGCATTTTTCTTCTGTTTGTGTGTTTGTTACTATCCAACTCTTCCAGTCCTTTGGCAGCAGTGGCTATGTGGCACAAACACTTCCATAGTAAATTCATGCTGATGTCTGACACCATGTAGAACATGATAGTCCTGTCATCAATGGAAACATGTTGACATGTCTGAGTAACTTGATAATAGGATTAATTATGGACTCAAGTCAAGCATGTAGCAGACACTCTTAATATAGTAAAAAGTGTATTGCGTACATTAGTTGTCTAAGAGTGTAATGGTTAGTAATAATATGCATGATAGAATTATGTAAGTGATCATTGTTGACCCTAATATTCCATGTTTTGCATTTGTTTTTATAAAAATATGTAATTTAAATATAGCAATCACGTAATATACGTTTATATAGAGTACTTAATTATTGTTGTTGTGTCTTTGCTCTATCCATCTTCTTTTTAGAATATATTACCGTGTTTTTGTATTGGGTCAGTCATTTCATGCGTGTGTCCGTGCTGCATGGAGTACTTGTCCCAAGCCTTAAGACGAATACGACTGTTATCCAGAATATTAGAAGGTGAAGAAGGATTTTTATAACAGACTGAAAATGTGTTCAGGGCTCTGTGGAGCTATATCTAATATATTTTTATGGTAAAGTGCTAATGTGCTATACGTGTAATGTTCAGCAAATGATGTCTCATCCCCAATCCATGTGACCCATCCCATCTAGAAGGATAGAAGGAAAAAACAAAGTGCGTGCCTTCTCTTTGTAGTTGAAGAGGTGGTTTTTATGGATATTTTTTCTTCTGCAGGCAGAAGTTGAAAACCTTTCTGTTGAAGAGCGTAGATTGGATGAACAAATAAGGTTATATCATGATTTCCATGCTGAGAGAATCATATGATTCTTCTCCTTTATTTATATATATTTTTTTCGTGCAACCTTGGATCACGCTGATTCTATATTGTTTGCTTGTTGCAGAGACATGCAGGAAAGGTTGAGGGACCTGAGTGAAAATGAAAACAATCAGAAGTATGATGTTTGCTTTTACCTTGATACTTGGTTTTTTGAATCGTTGTCGTAACTCATTATAACTAATGCAGTTGTTTCCTTTTTTGTTCTTTCCATTCTAGGTGGCTTTTTGTCACCGAAGAAGACATCAAGAACTTACCCTGTTTCCAGGTCAATTTGTCTTGTTGATTTGGTGGATATATGATCACTGAGATTACTTGCTTTCTAGTTCCACCTATCACTTTCTTCAGCATAACATTACTGAAACATGTTCATTGCTTTTAACAGAATGAAACCCTGATAGCAATTAAAGCTCCACATGGCACCACCCTAGAAGTCCCAGATCCCGATGAGGTAATTGAAGAGTGTACTAGCTTTGGAATAGTATGTACAAGTGCATTTTTTAAGACAACCTTTCTTTTGGTCTCCAGGCTGTTGACTATTCTCAAAGGAGATACAGAGTTGTCCTTAGGAGCACCATGGGCCCTATAGACGTCTACCTTGTCAGGTATTTTCTCTTCTTCTTGGTGCAAAATCAATCTCTTATGCGCATTTATTACATGTTTTTCTCTTCCATGGAAGTAAAGATGGTATACCAGATGATTTAGATTGTTATATCCTAATTTTGCTTTTCGCCCCTTTCTTTCTTCCACTTTTGTTATCCTAAATGAGAATTGTTTTAGTCAATTTGAGGAGAAGTTTGAGGAGATCCATGGTGTTGAGGCGGCCCAGAATGTTCCCTCAACATCAGGGATCAATGAGAACTCAGCTGTGGCAGTGGTAACGGAGGAGAACAAAGGAAGTGAGATGGAAATGCAGGGACAAGAAGCTAATAGGATCTGCTCAGATCCAAATGCCACACCGGATTTTGTGAGTGGAATCATGAAGATTGTACCGGATGTTGATGTAAGTCTTGTCTTCCGAATTTATATAATTATCAGTCATCATCATTCAGAGAATTAAATGTCCAGGAGCAAGTCAAACCCATGATATTCTTAAATTAACTGTATGCAATCTGCAAACCAGCTCAACCAGTGTTTTCTGATACTAATAGCTATAGCCTTTCTTGTGATTTGTCGAGATAATATTTCTTTTCAAACAATGATTTTTCTTTTTATTGGAACAACTTTGCTCGTTTCTTGTGGACAAATCAAAATGAAGAGATGAACGCTGGTCTCAACCTCATTTTTTTTTTTTGGGGTTATTTACACATTTCCTTTGGCGTTTGCAGAGTGATGTAGATTATTGGTTTTTATCAGAACCTGATGTTCCCATCGCAAACATTTGGGGTACAGAGTGTATCCTTTCTGCTACTGTTTGGCTTATTTTTAATCGCTCTTATTTTCTTTTTCTTTCTCCACTTTTCCTGTGATAATATTTGTAAGAATGAACGGTGAATTCCTCAACTCTTAAGCACAGCTGCGGTTGAATGGGATGAGTTGGGCATCCTTCATGATGACCATGCAGTCGGTAATGCCAGCACACAACTCCCCCAAACTCCACCAACCAGCGCAACACAAGTGCCTTCAGCCGCTAAATCCACGGGAAGCTGAGAGAAATTTGTTGACACAACTTGATCAATGTTTTGTGGACTCGGCATCAATGAACTATACTATACATCAGCTCTTTGGTAATACCCATATTTTGGTCCCTGGACGTGACTGAAGGGTCGCTGGGGTTAGCCTTCATTCCTAAAAGAAGTCGATAATATGAAGCACGAGAATGGGAGGGAAGCAGCCGGTTCATTGTACAGTAGATATGTACATGATCCTTGTGGTGGTAATGAATAAATAGGTTACATTGTTGTTTAAAGTTGCCCATGTATATTATTATTGCATTTCTTAGCTTTTATTTAGTGGTTAGCACGAGAACATGGTAGGTTGGAATCGGCAAGTTATGAGCTCTATATGCACGCTTATTTTGTTCTACTTATCTGTTGTGATTCATCTTTTGCATTCTTTTGTTCTGATTTAACTACGTAGGCACTGGAGTGGGCTTTATCTTCCATTACAGCAATTCTTCTCCATGGGAGTACTGAAGTGTGCATCTGCTATGACGGTCAGTACACACGAATCAATCTATTTTTAGTTTAGATGTCGAAAATTATTCCTTCCATATGAACAATGCATGAGTTGGTTATAAAATTGAGTGACATTTTTGAGATGTGTAACATGAATGAAAAGAATAGAATATCAGATGTGATATCTTAGATCCAACTTTTGTTCGTCAGAAATGCGTTGAACCAAGTTTATTTTGTAATGCGATTCTCCCATTTAGTTTAAGAATAAATGGGATTAGGGTTTGGTATGAAAAACTGCACTGCGATTAGATATCTAATTTGCATGTATTATATCTTGCTGTGGAAGATTATCTAATTATTTCCCTTGATTATGTACAACTCAGAAGATTGTATGAGTGAAACTTAAATTCGAAATATTGAAATCAGATAGAGATTAGTCCTAAAAGCTTGAGCTTATAGGAGAAGTCAGTCTTAAGCATTTACACTCATCTATCAGATTAGAGTTTTAGTTCAATTTGTTTGGCAGTCCCCTTGACAAAAAATGAGAATGATCCAAGTTTAGACCATGGCTTTAATTTTTTTTTTTTTGAGTAAATGTTATTCAAGTCCCATTTTTTTTTGGAGAAAAACTTCACTGTGCTTGTTGCACGTTGCATTGTGTAATGGATGTATCTGGACCGTTTATGTAATACATATGCTCATGCGTGTATTACATACACCGTGTATGAACTATTGGATGCACCCGTTGCACGATGCAATGGGCGTAATAAAGTTTTTTTCCATTTCTTGATACCATTATTAATCTCTCTCTCGATAGCATTACTCAATTTTTTTTATAATGAATGTGACCTTACTAACATTGCGACACCTATTATTTTGAAGTAGGTGTTACATTTTGAAAGTAATTGTTGTATTTTTTATCTAATTGATGTATTCTTAAAATAATGGTATTGCATTCTCTAAATAGGTGTTAAATTCTTGAAGTAATTATGTATTTTCAAAATTATGAGGTTGTATATTTAAAGCAATTGATGTTATCAATCAATTATATCTTGTCACATATGAAAGTGCATTTATTTAGTGGATCATATCATTATGTATCATTATTTAAGTAGTATGTCATGTCTTCGGTGTTATTAGTCAATTATATATTGTCACATATTATTTAGTAGGTCTCATTATTACATGTCAGCATCTAAGTAGTAAGTGATACCATGTTATTAATATAACAGGAGCATTAAAGTATTTCTGTATGCCTTTAAAAAAAAAAATAATAATAACAGTTTTAGTAATTTTAGCTGATCTTACACGTGGGAGTGTGAGACTACCTTAAATTTCACGAAAGATCATTTATAATTTTTTTTTAAACATTTTGTCCAGTCATCATGCAAACTCAACATCTCAGTCTAACCACACTGAGAGCCGATAGGTATACTTTCGTAGAAGATTGAAGGTTCAACTATCTAGAAGAATAATGTGAAAAAAGAGAGTAGGAGATTGAAGGTTCAAGTTTTTCTAAGAATGTGGGAAAAAAAAAGGTTAGTTCAAAAATCTTCGAATGGAGAAGATATTGGGTAAATCGAGCATGCCATGTAATTTGTATGTTAGACTGGAGAGGCAGCTCAAAAATATGCTTTTGGGGTGTCAAAAAGTAGTAATATAAAATTAAGATTTTAAAAATAAATTAAATAATTTTCTTTTTGTGCATTTTTAATGTAGATTTTTAAGAGCACATCTATACACGATACTATTGGCAAAATAAAAAGAGAGAAAATTCGATAATGTCCGTCAATTATCAAATTTTCTTTGATATAAAATTTCACTACGGAGGTTTGAAAATACTAAATTGTCTAATATTTGCTTTATGTAACAGTTCAGTTACCAACAAAAATACTGTTCTCAGGATATATCATATTAGAAGTAGGATTTTAGACAGAAATTTGGTTAAAATTTTGGGTCATCCACACCATACCACTGTAGATCAGCCCCAAGAAGCTTAATATGAACCAACAATTTCAACAAGAAGCAACTGTTAAAACCCCCATTTCATACATTTTTTTTCTCTCACTACATTTTTTTATCTTCTCTTCACAAACCCAAAATTCATTCTCTCTCACTACATCCTTGATCCTCTTTTCACGAACCCTAAGATAAGGACTCTACACAAACCCAAAGACAAGAACTACAAATCCAAAGTCAAATCGCTAGCCGAGAAACTCAAACTCGTTGTCCATGGCATCGATTGGTCGGACCTCAAGCTAGTGGAGTCGTCAGTTGCACTGTAGAGGAGACGATAATGAAGATGGATATGCAAATGGTGAAGAAAAGGAAGAATGGCCAATGAAAGAATAACTGACAAGAGTGAAAAACATTTTAACAAATTAACACGATCCGATTACAACAGAGTATCCGTCGGGTATAATCACGAGCCCTCACCCATGAAAAAAACTTGATCGAGCCCGCACTGCACTCACAAAAAGTGGGCTGGGATCCCACGACTAGAGTGCGTGCACCGGGCTCAACCAAGTGTTTCTCCTCACCCGCCTCTTCTTTTCTCCCTCTCCAACTCATATGCCACGTAATACTATCTTTGATTTGTCTACTCTTGATCTGGACCGTCCACTTCTTGGCCTGAATGATTGGATGGCCATATTGCCGGTGGTCAATGAGGATCTATCCAATAAGCATGTACCACGCGGCTAAGAGTTCTATTTCTTACTAGTGGAAAAAAAGATGTGCCATTTTGGTTATGGTAAGACTAGTGATTTAATTAATATAACTTAATTTATTGAAATAATGTTTGAGAACCTAAAATAAAATTTTAAAAACTAATACACATCTCTTATTGACTAACACTCACCACCTTCATACTCATTCTTGATAGGCCTAGAATCGATTGATCTTTGAGGAGATTTTATGGTGGTCTGAAGTTATGGTGCAGAAGCCTGTCGTCAGTTTTTGGGAATTTCATGATGCTCGATCCCTTTGTTCTTCATTACAGCAAGAGCCGATTAGTGATTTGGTGGATTTGTGGAGTCTTTCTTCATCTAGAATTGTTAAGTGCAATTTTGATACTTCTTTTGGTCGGCAGTCTTTGCAAAGGGGTGGTGGAGTTGTTTTCCGTGATTTTCGGGGTGAAGTTCTTCAAGCGGTTATTTTTCGTTCCTTTTCTGCTACTTGATCTTTGGAAGTAGAAGCGTTGGTGTGTCAGCATGCTATCCTTTGTGCTTTCGATTTGGAATTTTCTTGCTTATGGTTTGAATCGAACGCCAAAGTTGTTGTGGATGGTGTGTTCTGTGAAGTGAATTGTCTGTCGGAAATTACGTCTGCTACTTTGACTCATGTGCGTCGCCGGTGTAATCGGGTGGTTCATGCGCTTGTGTCAGATCAGCTGTTGTCTTCGCTACGAATGAAAGAAAAAAAAAAATAAAAAATACTCATTCTTGATTGATGACTAAGAACGAAACTTTTTAGGATATCTTTTGTAATCAACGGCTAAGATACATCATAATTTATGGTTAAGATTTATTCACTGGAAACTTCTAACTAAATATCTTACTTATTGTTTACAAACTTTTTAAGTATATCTACTAATTAGTTATAATGAACCCTTTACGCATATTCACTCTTTATATAGACCATATCTTTGTAAATAACGGTTAACATAAAATCATAATTCATGATTAAAAGTCACCAACTATTTATAAACTACTAACACTCATCACCTTCATATCCTCACTCTTGATTGGTGACTAAGAACCAAACTTTTAACTCTTTATATATATATATATATTTTGTAATCAACGGCTAGGATGGATCATAATTGATGGTTGAGATTTATTCACTAGAAACCTCTCACTATATATCTTATTATTTACAAACTTTACAGAACTCTCTGGAACTTTAAATATTCTCTAAAATATTACAAACTCAAGAAACTAAGAAAAAAAAATTATTAAAAAAATATTAAAATAGATTTTTTTTTAATTGGTGGAACAATTTGGTTCACCCTCTGCAATTGATCTCATGAACATCCGACGGTCTGGGTACATCACATGTATAAGAAGTAACCTTACAAGCTACTTTTTAGAGGGGCCGAGAGATCGGGCCTTGAGACTGAAACTAAGACCTAAACTCTCTCACCAAATTTAGCGGGCCGGGCCGAAACTTCAAAGCCATTAACTTCGGGCTTTTTGCAGACCCTATTGGCTACTTTTGGATGGAATTGGGACTCATTCTGTAGAGTAAGTACGTATTATTAGTCTATTCCGGCACGTTTGGTAACTATTTATATTTATAATTTATTGTTTATATAAATAAAATTTGAAAGTCAAAAACATGTTTGTTAATATTTTTTTGTCTATCGATTATATAAATTTACTTATATAATTAATGTTCACAATTGTTTATTTATTATTATTATTATTTTGCACGAAGAAAACAAAGAGTTAAGAACAAAACAAAAATCATTCTCTATGTCTTTTGGATAATCAATAAAGCTATACATTCCATTAAAGATCAGTGGTTTTTTGATGAGCACTTCCCATTTGATAAGGTTGTTAGCAACATTGTTAGAGAATTTAGGGTAATGCTAAGGTACTTTGACTTCAAGTCTGTAAAGATGGGGTACCAAAGAATTCTGATCAACACCAACAAAACTCTATATATAAGTTTCAAATACATATATACATAATGAGCTATATGTATAGATATGTCATGCCCTATACATTAGTGGCAATGGTACCAATGGAAATTGGTCAACGAATGAGACAAAATATTAAACTTTATATTTAGATATAAACTGTCTGTATTAATTGAAAATGAAGTGGGTCAAATAGTAAACTTATCTTTGTATATCAAGCCAAAGAGTAGGAAAACATTCAAAGCTTCATTCTTACATTCTTTTGGTGGGTCTTCATAAAGCTTCATTCTTACATTCTTTTTGTGGGTCTTGGGTATCTTCAAATATTACTTCACCAATGAGAATCTTCTAGGGAAAAAAAATTAAAAAAAAAATTAATTGGAGTAGCAATTTGTTACCTAAAAGCCATTATAAGTAAAAAATAGTTGGGTACTTTATAGAAGCTTTTATTATTATTTGGAAACTGATGTTGAAATTTTTAAAAACAGTTTAAGGTTAACAAACATATTTTTCTATTTTTTTTTTTATTTATAAATAAGACAAATACTTTTATGTTATCAAATAATGTATTTGTTTATCGATAAACAAAAGTTACACATAAATACTCATTATGTTTAGGAAAAAAATCCTCCCTGGTTAGGGATAAAAATGTTGACTTGGCAGTTGATTTAGGAACAAATTTAGCAGTTGAGTCATATTTACC